AGAAAAAGAAATTACATAATGAGTGAGGTGTTGGTGAAAAAAGTACATTGAGATGATAGAACAAAAAATGCAGCATGAAGCAAAGTTGGACGAGCTGTTATTTTTAAATTGATCTATGAAACAGATTTTATGAAGGGATCTCTTGATAACTGCACTGAGTGATTTTGTTTGCTGAAATGTTCTATTTCCAATTGTAAACTGTTTTTCAAGAGGAGTAATTAAAAGGCTAGAACAGCAGCTAGTTTGCTTTTCTTCCACCTCAATTTACAGAGAAATAGCACGTTTTGGGAACATTTCTTCCCATTTTTTTTGGAATCATAGTACTACTATCAAGTACTACACAAACAGTAATGTAGTACACACACATTTAGTATAAAGTTGGTAGCTTAGAGTATTTCTTGGAACTGTGGGGAAATGCATGTATTGTCTGACTTAGATGCAATAGTGTTGGGAATTCTTCCAGCAGGACCCTGCTGTGAGCATGAGAGTACTGACAGCAATGATACGAAGTTATACGAGGATTATGAGGACAGCGAAGTAGATAAAGTTTATGTTCTTACACAGTTTTCCGAGTATACACTCGAAATGTTTAAACAATGGAGGAATTATTCACATTCTTCACTTGACAACAAAGTACTAACATCACCCTGTGAACATTACATCCTGTATTTGTAGCATTAATATTATGTGAGAACAATGCAATCAGTAAAAATTGGAATCAAAGAGCTCAGAAACATATTGTTATTTTTTTAAATATTTTGTTTTGTTTATATTTTTATTGTCAACAATCTTCATTTAATATTATATTACAGCAAATTTGGTTAACTATTTCTATTCAGGCCTGACACTGGCACAACCAGATATTCAAAGCCTTCATTTTTTTAATCAGTTTCATACATTGAATAGTTTTAAAATGTAATTCTCAGAAGTTTTTTTTCTTTTTTTTAATTCAAGTCATTTCAGTTTTATCTACAAAGCACCAAATCACAACAACGGTCGCTTTATATTGTAATGCAGACGCTACAATTTATGTCACAATAGCAGGACCGTTCTATCACAAAGGTTTGTTTTTTATTCAGAGGCAGTGTGACCAAGAAGTCAGAGGGCTGAGGGATTTGTGTAGAGAGAGCGTGATAGAAAATTGATGGGGTGTTTCAGATAATCTGGGTTAACTGTTCCCGTGAAATTTCAGGAGCTAAGAGGGGTTAGTCCGTATAAGGGCGAAAAAGGGAGGGATCGGTGGCCAGCGGGCAGGCGGGTGGAGGGCTCAGAGTTCCGTGATCCATTCAGAAACATAGCTTGAGGTCTTTGACCAGCGCGATCTGCTTCAGCTGACCAGCTGGAACAAATAGAGAACTAGTTGCCACATAACTAGAAGTAGAAATAAACAGTAGTAGGCAGATCTGAGTACTGGTGAAGAGAGTCTGGTGAAGCTCTGTGGCACAGGGCGTCCTTAAATACTGCCTGCTCCATGAAGCGATGCAGCTCAGCAGGAAAGATCGGTGTCCAATTCTCGGACTCTGCTGTAGGGTGGACCCCTCCTCACCAGAGGAAGGGAGAGAAGGAAAAAGATTTTCCATGAAACAAGGAGAGAAATTCTGGGTTCATGATAATTTGATCTCTTATCAGTCCAATTTAACCCACAAATCTGAAGCTTCTGTCCCTAAATTACCAAAATGTAATGTTTCTTTAATCAGCACAGTAATCTTCAGCTCAGCTTGTCAGTATAAAGATGTTTGTAGTCAAATATGAATTATCTGACATGAAAAACGTGTATTGAGTAGAACAATGTGATTTTTTTCAAAACAGGAGTAATTGTTACTAAAAATGTGCTGTACTGTACTTTAATCATGAAAAACAAGGACTTTTCAAACTGAATCCAATCTTTTAAGTATAAAAGTAAAAAACAATATATACAGTGTTATCTTCATTTTAGATTTCAAAAAGTATTTGCGGCTCCCAGTGTTTTCTTGGGTGGCTCTTTGGGTGTTAAAGGTTGCAGACCCCTGAACTAGACGAAGTAGTGATGTTTACTTTAGTAAAAATTGAAAGATGAGTGTCGTTAAATTACCGTTCAGTTTGTGAGTTACAATCAGAAAATGATACATTTATTGTTCATTTATCGGACGGGATTATTTTTGACAAATCAAAGAAATTTTGCCCGATAATTACTTTTTTTCCTAGTGTAACTTCACTTCAAAGAGCTACAACTCAAACATTTCGGAGTAATAAGTCATAATAAGTAGGGATGCACCGATACCGATACTGGTATCGGGACCGATACTGTAAAATGTGGTATCGGTTAACTCGTAAAAGTTAACCGATACCACGAACCGATACTAACTTATTTCATTAATCAGAGGGTGGCTTGTCATTTTTGTTGTAGTTTTTTAGATTGGCCACTAGGGGGACATCCCGCGCTAAACAGGCACAGGGTTAGACGAGTGAGACTGGCGGCTCCAGATAAAAAAAGAGAAACTGGAGGCTGCTGTAGCTAGGCTAAACAAAATGTCAGCAGTGTGGACCGGA